TCCAATATTTTTTTAAAAGCTTTTTCACCAACTCTATTAAATGATAAATTAATTCTTTCTAATAAAGTACAAGTTTTCAAGGAATCTCCAAACCATTCGCCTTGTTCTTCAGTCAGAAAACAACTTTCAAGATTTATTTGTTTTATAGAATTGCGTGATAAAGATATTCCATTACAAATATTCTTAAAACCATCTTCCATTATTCTATTTTCTGATAAATCCAAATTTTGTAGCATTGAACAAGATTCAAAAAAAATTCCATTATCTTTTTTAATACAACAATTTTTAAGAAAAATATTTTTAATATTTTTAAAAAAGTCAAGTTGAAAATTGTTTGCCAATTCACTAATATTTGGATTTCCTGTTAAATCTAAAGCATTTAGAGAATAACAGTTTTGAAGTATTTTGTAAAGATCTTCAATTTGTTCTATATTTAAATTACATTCTGCCAATTTGATTTGTTTAAGATTTTTCCAAGGAGTTTCCAAAGCATCTAGTATTTTTTTGAATAAATTCCCAATATGTTTATTATATGATAAATCGATATTTTCTAATGTTGAATTATACTGAAGTTTTTCACCAATAATTTGACTTTGTTTATCATTTAAATTACAATTTGAAATATTAATTAGTTTTAAATTTGATATTAATCCATCAAAAATTCTTTTTAAATTCTGATCATCATCAAATAATGTACAATTTGTTAATGTAAAATTTTCTATTGAAGGACAAAATTTTAAAATTTCACCAACATCTATCATAATTTGTTTATTCAAAAAACAATCGTTTATTTCAAATTCTTCCAAATTCCATAATTTTTCAGTTAAGTCTATCTCGTATGAATATTGAAATTTTAAATAGGTATGATGAATAATGAGTTTATTTAAATTCTTAGCATTTTTCAAAATTAATTGAAAGAATAATGTTATATTCATATTTATATTTTTTATGAAAATTACTTTTAAAAATTGTCCAATCGTATTTAATAAAATTTCCAGAATGTAATCATGAATATCATCATTTTCTAAGATTATTGTATCGCAATCATCCCAATCTTGACATAATAATTCTTCAACATTTTGACTACAATTGTACATTTTTCTTATCAGTTCAGATGAGAGAATAATATCATTAAACATAGATTGACTGTAAGCTTTTATAAAATCAATGACACTATAGATTCTAGTATTATTTGTTTCTGTGACAATATTATCCAAATTACTCATTGTATTTATACCATCGTCATCTTCTTTTTCCAGTAATTCTATTATATATTCTGCTGAAAAAAATTCTTGAAATGATAAATGATAGAATTGTAATTCTGTTTTATGAAATTCAGATGGAAAAATCTGTATTAGTCCTTTTAAACCTTCCCGAAATAGTTTTTGTTCTTTTTCATTTTCAGGTAAGATAATTCTATTCTTTGAAAGGTTTATAAAACACAATTGGTAAAGATTTTTTCTATCCGAGTCATTTAATATAACTTCATTTTTTCTGAGAATAATTTCAACTAAATCTTTATAAATGTTGTATAGAGATTTATTGGAAATCTTTTCATCTTCTATCCAAACATGGAAGAGAATCATTGCAAGAATAGGTAAACTACACAATTTTTGAATATTATAATTTTTTTCTAAAACATCTTCAATAAACATTTTACTTTTTTGTTCATTAATAAAGCATTTAGTAAAGAAATTTTCGATTTGAGGAATATCCCATCCAATAAGTTCAAATGCTATATCGCAAGTATCTGCGAATTCTTGAGCTTTCCATTTACGAGACCATATTGCAGTTGGAAGATTTGGTTGTAATTGATAAATGATGTCATTGATTTTATGATTTTCTAGATGAAATTCATCAGCTCCATCTAAAAGTAATACAACATCTTTTCTCTTTTCCTTAAAAAATAATTCAATAATTTCAGAATTGATATATGGAATGTTTTTAAAGTTTTGTTCAATTATCTCCTCATAAATGCTTTTGTTTCCTTGAATATTCTTTAGAATAAGAAATAGAAATAGTCTTTTATTCTTAATAGTTTTAGACCATTTGTATAGAATACTTTTCATATGAACACTTTTTCCACCACCAGGTTTACCTTGTATCAAGATTTTGTTGTAACATTCCCTATTGAATATTCTAAAAAAATTCTCATAAGGCGCGTCTATATCTACCAGTTTTCTTTCTAAAATATTTTCATATTCAATTTTTAATAGTTTAACTGGAGTGTTTATATCTTCGATTTTTACTTTTTTTTCTCTACTAAATGAAAGTAAAGAAATCATACCACAATCCTTCTGTCTTTCTTCCTTTGTATCAGCTACTAATTTCTCCCAAACTGAAGATTGATCGTTTAATTTAACACTCAATTCCTCAGCTTGTTTATTACCATCCTCACCAATCTTTTTTATTATATTAATTGTTTTCTCTTTTGAAAGTTTACTAAGGTGGTTAAGCAAATTTTTAATTATATTTTCTTTTTTCAAAGGATCTTTTAATTTGTTAGTGATATCCTGCACATTTGCCCAACTATTAATTTCAAGTTGCTCTATATAAGCTAGAAATAGTATACTTTCCTGATTTGATAAGGTTTTAATCTCGTCTAAATAGTAATTAAACGTAAGTTTATCTGTTGAATCCATATTTTTTTAATATTTAATATTCCAAACAGAATAAGAAAAATTGGTTAACCACAGTAAAAAATGTTATTGTATGGTTATAATAATGGTTATAATTTAGGAAATTTTAATTTTTGACCTTGACCTTTGATAAAAAGATAGTAAAAATTGTATAAATTTTATTTTTTTTCCATATACAAATATTTTTGTCGCGGACTATATAACAGATAATGTACACATACATTCGTCAGCTATATTCTAAAATAGAGAAGTAGTATTGAACCAGTATTGTACTATGCAGATAGCACTGATAAAGATAAGCAGTAGTGACCTAGTTTCGCGTAGGGCAGTGCATACACATTACGCAGCAATAAAACCTATTAAATTATATAAAGAATATTTGCTATTTGCAACCTAGCATTAATTATCAATTAATTATCAATTATGCTTCAATTCTAAGTTTAGATTATATTGACTATTCAACAGTATTGTATACACAATACTGTTCTTCTTAACATGCATTAATCAGATATACTTCCTCTGCATATGCTGATGCTAAATTTACTAACTCAATCAATTCAATATCATTATTAAGGTAGAATATAAAAACAGTCAAATATACAATCTACATGTTTTCTTGATTGTTGGACTTGTCCTACTAAAATTGTTACATCTTATGCAACTCTCCAACCTGAGAAATTCAACTATTATTTAGAAGAGGAAAACAATAAAAACATGACCATATTTACAACTTTTCTTTTTTTGTCTTCAAATGTTACTTTTGTTTTTGTCAACATTGAAATTTGTCAACTATCAACCCTTAAAAGAGTATATAAACCCTACGAAATTAACAGTTGATAGTTCACTTTTCTAATCGTCAGCTAGTTGTTTAAACTAGCTTGTTTAGAACTAGAAGCTCATTTTACTCAATACATATTCTTTGCACGAAATACTGGTGTTTTGTTAATTAATTTCTACCGAAATTGCCTTTGTTAGACTATTTGTGGACAAACTTTAAAGGTTCTATTTGTTTGAGTACTTTGGCAAGTTGGTAAATGATTGGAAAGGACGATTACAGTTGTGACGAACCAGAAATTCCTACAATTACAATACAACAAAGTACAGATAACAATTTTCAATTAAGGGCCACTTATTCAATATGTGTAAAATCCTATTATCAAAGATAAACATGAACTAAACAGTTCACAAACTGCAAAGTGATGATTGGAAAGTTAGAAGTAACCTCAAGGTATATGAAAACTAAACTCGAACAAGTATTCTACTTTTCAATGCTGGATTTTAGTTTGGTAATTTGGAAATCTGCTATTACAAACTATCTAGTCTAAAAAACTCAATTATTTGTAGTTATATGTAATGTTACTTTTGTCTAAAGATACCACTATGAAAGATTTGAGTTATTTTTAATAAAAAACACTGGAAATGGTCTAAAGATTTAGGGATTTAGCAGAAAATGTCCACAAATCAATGCTTAAAACCTTAACAATAACCCAGCCATTGACTGTACTCAACTTCTTTCATTGTCTCCAACCCTTAGACAAGAGACTCCTTAGAAAATTATGTTTAATTGACAGTGTACATTCTTTATGAAAGAAAATAAGATATAATTCAGTAAGCAATTGTAAATTACAACAAGTATTATATAACAATTGGATCAATAATTTATTAATTTCCTATCAAACACAACAGCTTTAACTAACCGGAAACATATTATTTATATATATAAATGAGACTCGACAAACATAATTGTTTATCTGTTTATAATGTTATCATCCATTCAGTTGGTGTGTTAATTATCACAACTGACAAAGTTACACATTACTGTTGAATTTCAATGACAAAACTCTACTACTATAACTTCATTATTTTATATTTGTATATAAATATCAATTTTGCAGGTAAAATACTCGTTTCTTTTAGTATTAAATGTGAACAATATGCTTGTTTAGAATACTGCAAAAGTTTAAATGATTGCTTACACAATAAAGGCTGGTGTGATAATGGAATTTGCAAATGTCAACATCCATTTAATAGTGGAGTATGCAATTCTGGTATTTTTTTTTTTCAATTTTAAAAAGATATAGGCTTAATTTTTTATATAAAATAATTCAGATCTGGTTGTTTTAAATTTCTATTGTGAAAATGATAATTCTGATTATTCAATGAAGATTTTATCTTCAAACACAAATTTGATACAACATTGTTTCAATGAATGTAAAAAGAAAAATGATTGCATTGCTTTTACAGTCAATGAAACTAAATTCAAGAGTTGCATTCTTAAAATGAAATGTCAGCAAAAGAAATCTATTGTGGGAGAAACAATACATTCACTTATGAAAACTGGTAAAAAAAAAACATTTGAATTTTAGAAAATAACAAAAATCTATATTAATTTCAAATAGATATATTTCTTAATGAAATCTGTGAAGAATTGGATATTTATTCGCCTATCTTTGAATTGTGCGCCGTAACTGCTTTTAGAAAATATTCAAATTGTGCAAAAGGAATGTTTTGGTTCAAAGTCAAATATCCAATATGGAGTGAGAAGTATAAAAGTGAAAAAGGTATCAGTAAAATGATAATGGAAATAAAACATTTTGGAAATTTGACTACAAAATTAAAATCAGTGGATGACAAACTTGCTGAAAGATTCTGTTTAGGCCAAGAATCAGTTGGAAAGTACAATGCCATTAAGAATAGTATAATGCAACAGGAACCAAAAATTTCAAAAGACAAAGCCTATTTGGTTGATGGTTTAAAAGACCAATGTCCAATGTTGTTCAAGGATCCTGATAGCCAAAAAGATATCTACGCAATTTTTGATTTAGTAGAACAACAAATTTTCAAAGTACTAGTAATTTATACAAAAAATGATTTAGGTGATTTAAATAGCATATTAACCTTCCAATCTTTCTCCATAAAAATTAATTTTATAATAAGAATTTTCTTTATAGATATGTTAATGATAGTTAAAAATTCCTCTGGGAAAAATGTCCAATATTCGAAGGCAATTGCACTTGGAACAGAATTTCCAAAAATATTTACAGCTTATACAAATAACATTTTGGGAAGATATTTAGTTTTTGTTTTCAAAAATACTTTGGAAATAACCATATGTGAAATTGAAATTTATACAAGTATAACTCTAGTTTATCATTGTATTTTATCACTTATTTCTTTTATTCTAAAGACAATTTGGCAATGAATTTGGTAGAATTTCCATCAACTTTAAGGAAAGATTTATTCTCTAGCAAACAAAATGTTCAACATGGAGTTATTTCTCTGACAAAAGTTTACCATTTTCTATCTATTCATCTAAAAGGTCAATATCTAGTGTATTCTATATCACTTTTTCAAATATATACAACAAACACATATGAAATTTATGTCAAGAAAATGTCAATATCTTATTACGAAGGAGAAATGTGTTCGAGAAGGAATCCTACTGAGACAATCTCCAATATTGTTGTAATTTGTGATCAATTTCTCATTGGTGAATTTATTGAACTCAAAATTAAAGAGGAAAATATACAGAATTTTAAATTGAAAAGAATTGATGTGAGAGGTTTGTCTATTGGCCAACCAGGTAAATTATTCATTATTTATTTAATGATTTATCCCCTTTATCTAAATATGTGTTAATTATAATCAATAGAATATGCAAATATCGCTCATGATAAAGCTTGTTGGAATTATTTAACATCTACCAATCCACCCACTCCCACACATCAGTATTCAGCAATGTTTGCTAGTGATGCGTTTAGATACTTTACAAAAACAAAACCATTTTCAATTAGTTCAATGAATATTGATCTCCTCCAATTCTATAGACTAGAATACATTCTAATAAAAACTACCAGTTTTCAACCAGGTAGAGAGATTCTTCAAAAATTAATTCAAATAACAATTTTTAAATATATTATTATAGAGAGTATATACGAACATATTGAATTCAACATTATTAGGACACATGATGCAGATACCATCTCAAAATTTGGCATTAAATGCAAAAAAGATTCTAGAAATCAACAAAATGGCGATTTAAGTTGGGATTGTAAACATAATATGGAGTTTGGTAATTTACTAAATATAGAAACAACAAATCAATTAACAATCTTGGAATTATACATATTTGGAAAATCCATTGATATACATACCATTTCTGCTGATATTGCAATTTCTAGAATAGCATCAATTTCAAATTTAACTTGGAATGATGAAAGTTCATCTTCAACATTACTTGGTCAAGATTTTTATAATATTGAAACTGTTGAAAAATATTCATCATGTTCAAAAATAACATTATTTGGAAATGTATTAATTAGAATAAAGCTAAGAAAAGCTTATTATATACATCAAATTCAACTTGAAACAGTCACTGATAAAAATCAAGTAGGGAAAATTATTCTAAAAATATCAATGCAATGTAAGAATCATTTGTATCTTTAAGACAGATTCACTCAATCAACTGTCATTGTTTGTTGGATATAAAAATAGAGTCTTAACCACCCTATGTGGAAATATAACAGATGCGTTTGTTGGAACTATTATTCAAATTCACTGTCTTTGTGCTTTAGAGGGAAATGAATTGATAATTGTCAAAAATACAAAAACTAATTATCATGAATTAGGCTTTAGTAATATTAGGATATTGGGAAGGACATCAGGTAATTATTCTACAATTCAATATCCATAATCTTAAATTTCAAATACATTGAATTTGCAAAATAAAGAAAAAACATTTGGAATGAAGATAATACAAGAAAAAAAGCTAACAGAATATTCAACAGCAACAAATGGAACTTTAACATATTGTTTGAATTTCTGTAAACTCAATTACTGTGTTTTCTTTTCATATAATTTCAACAGTAAACTATGTCTGATAGCGTATTCAACAGAGATAGCTCAGCTTTCTGATGATAAGAATTCTGTTTTTGGACAGAGAGCAACTTTGATATATAATAATGAATGCTAAGAAGGTACACACTACTATTTTTTAAGAGAGGAAAACAATAATTACATCAACATATTTACAACTTTTCTTTGTCTTAAAAAATGTTACTTTTATTCTTGTGAAAATTTTGATTTGTCAACTATCAACCCTTTAAAAGACTATACAAATCCCACAAAATTCACATTAGATTTATTCAATTCCTGTTCTTTAAACTTATTTGTTTAGAGCTAGAAGCTCATTTTACTCATTACAGCATCCTTAGATGGAAGCCCACTAACCACAAATCAATAGCTACTTTACTTCTCCTAACCATTTTGCAATCCGAAATGTTGCTTTCAAATGTCTCACTTAGGAACATTTTCTGAGTGGTAGTCTTGCCCAAGAAGTGAATAAGTGTAATATAAGAAGTGAGATTGTTGAATCACTTCCTCATTTTTTTTGAATTCTCAAAGTAGCCTTAAAACCACTGTTTTAGAAACATTAGAAATGTTCTAAATCTACTATTTGAAATTCCAAAACTAAAACTGATAAATACAACAATCACAGTAATAGTTACTAAGTAGTCAACAAGTTTTCATCATCCATATTACTACTACTATTACTTGGGCTTCAGCTTTGTACTGTATATTTTCTCTCTATAATGATAAGAAGAATATTATTAAATATAATAATATCCTTCATTTTCATTCTTTAAGTATGGAAAGAGAAAAAATCAAGAAAATATTATTTTTTTTAGGTGTAACAGTGACTTACTGCCAGTACTGTAGTAGTGAGTAAATATTGCATGAAACAATAGTAAATTTTCCATCAGTTTTTCCTAAAAGGTTGAATATTTTGGACTATTTTTTAATTCTTGCCAATACGATAAAGAAGCTCAAAAGAGATTTTTGCCACAATGCTACCATATTGTTTTGGATATAAGAAAAAGATTAATAAGCTGAAGCAAGGCATTTCTCATTTTGTCATTATAAAGTCCATTGGGCTTGTGTATCAGGTAAGCTCAGAATTGATTTTAATGTAAACTCTTCAAATTCTTCTCTCCTCTGTATCCCAAAGGTTCAATTCACAAGCTGTTTAAAAGTTCCAAGTGTCTTTGCTACCAGAATGGGGTCTCAGCAAAGGTATTTAATTAATTGATTGACTTTTCATACAGACGAGAGAAATTAGCTGTTATGTCTAACTATAGTTTTTCAATAAATTGGTAAAATGTTGATGACAAAAATTTTATTTGATAGAAATTTATAAGCCTTTGTCATTAGAATATGTCTACTAATCCATAAATGAATAAAGACGACTAATTTTAAAAATAGGATTAATGCAAAACTCTTTGTTTTTAATTTATTCAAAACTATGTCGAATTTCATCCAATTTGTACACTTGTCAACTCTGACAAACTATTCAAAGTCATCTTTTTTTAACAAACATTGTCTAATAAGAAAAATTCATAACATTTTGGAATCAGATTCACAACAGATGAGATGTTTCACTATTCTTTTCGTGCCTAATTGATATGTGGCAATTCATGATGGTAAATTCTCATCCAATCAACTCCCTTTGAACGAGTAGGGTAAGAGTTATTTTTTGGTTGCTTGGAAGAGAGGAGAATGAATGGATTGATGCTCAAATAGAGCGCCATTATCCAATAGCTCAGTACAGTTCAAACATTAATCGACTTTTGATACAACTATCCAAAAAATTTGATTTGTTTATAATTCTTTGAAAATTACAACTTGCTATTTATTTTAAATGGATTCCTCTCCCATTCCCTTAATCATTGAATTAAAGAACACCAATAATCTATAGCAAAGGTTATATTCCAGGAGCTTTATGGTTTTAGACAGTGGTAAATTTTACACAGATATAGCTTCGGTGAAAAACGGAGCAATCTGTACAGCAACATCTCAATATACTGCGAATTATAGTTGCGAAATAGCTTTAGATCATACAAGTGGTTTGCTCTCTAATCTGGAAGAATGATTCGCCCAGTGCAGTGGTACCAACTGCAATGGCCAATATATAGATATTTCTTTTGAAATATATGGAAAACCAAGTGTGTTTTGCATTATGAACAGGCAAGTCATTTGTTTATTCTATTCAAACAACTAGTCATCTTTTTTTCTTATTTCATAGGCAATTCAATGTAAAATTCATTGAAAAAGTTAGGATAAACTGGACTTCCGGTCTACAGCAATCAGTCAATTTACAACGAAAATCTTTGGAAAACTGCTTTCAGTATAAAAGTGAATTTGTCGAAACTGGAATTAAAGTTACTGTTTTAGATACGGATCTGTCAGCCAATGTTGTGTTTGCGCTTATTGTTATGATTGCTATGCACTTGCATGGAAAATGTCAACAAAACCAATTGTCGTTGAGAGCAGTAGATTGTCTTCTCTCACTTTCTCTTAAATCATCTTACATTGGTGATAATCAATTTCATAGATTTCTCTTCTTTTGTCCAGATTATCACAAAGAAATATCAAAATTTTACTATTCTGTCATGATTGAAGAATTGGCTCCGCCATCTTCACTGCAACTTGCATAAAAAAAAACCCTAATTAAATACAGACACTTTTCAAAGGTCATGACCGAAAATCTTGAATAATTTAGCATTTGCGCAATACCTCTTCAATCGTTTTACCTGACGAACTTGTGTGACCTTTTGACCTGTTGGCAAATATTTCATCATATGTCTACAGAACTGGATTTATTCTGTAATACTTTGTACCTTGTGACCGGATGCGACAGAAAACGGCCCCAAAAGCATGGTTTTACCCTAACCCTAAACCATCCCTAATGTATCCGTAACCCTTTTTCATTTCTCCTAACCATTTCTTAACCCAAAATGCTGCCTTAAAATATCCTTCTTGGGGCCGTTTTCTGTTGATCCCCTTGTGACCGATTACCTTATTTCTGAGTTTGTACCACGATCCCTGATGACTAACCATTCTGACATAAGCAAATAATTTAAATAACAATCATGCGCCCCCTATATCAATGGTTATAAACTAAATTTAAAACCATTTTCTAAGGGCTGACTGTTAGAAAGTGTTTTTTTTTCATAATGGTCGCATCATATACATTTATATTTTTATCAAATGTTGCAATATTTCTAAACTTGAATCACTTTAATGTTTTTCTAAAGAATTCGGATGACAAAGAGAGAATTTATAGGAATATTCACGAATTGGATCATTTTAAGACGTCTTTAGCTAAAATAAACCACGACCTAACAAATGAAGACTTTTCAACATATGAAGAATCTTTCATACCAAAACATCAAAGAAAATCAATAATAAGAAAGTGTAAATTAATTTTTATTAAAAGTACGAAAAGTTTAGAGAGAAAATTTATTGAACAGAAATTAAAGGAATATATTTCTTGGTTGAAAACATTTAAGCAAAAATCTTATTTTCATTTTGAAGAAATTCATTGCAAAAGTAAAAATCTAGAGAAAAAAAAATGATGAAAATTTTAAAATATGTTTAAAAATTCAAAAATCTAAGAGATTTAAAGAGCAACTACATCTTATCTATGTCAATGATCTGGATAATCCGGTTCTAGTTAGTTCTTATGCAAATCAACCTTTTTTATCAATTCGACATTGGTTGAATAGAGTTGTATTCTATTTACAAGTTACAATTATAACGTCGAAACGTCATTTTCAAAAATTTAAAAAATTCAATGGAAAATCTTCCAAAAAGTATTTAATAGCAACTTCAGAACCTATTCAGAGTAGTTTAATTACAATCAATAGTTTGAGTATCGACACTACTGATTATGGAATCATTCAGATAAGAGATTTGAAATGTTGGAGTGACAACGTCTCTTTGCCGATTAGCGAAGGATACGAATATGTCATTCGGAATGGAGATGGAAATGATTATATTTATGTTAAGGTGATTCTATTCATTGGATTTTGCCAAGTACTCTCAACAGCAATGCAGATATTTGAAAAAAAAAGTCCAGTTCAGTTATCTTCTTCAGTCGTATCGTTAACAGTGCTTTTTCTCATGCTAATTTACCCTTCAAATAGAAAATTGTTCGAGGATCAACCGTTAATTCGTCTAAAATTACTTGAATACGAATGGATGAGCGTTCATGAATTTCTAATAATCATACATAATTTATACTTTATGGCAACCATTCCAAAGGAAATCTTCAAATCTCCTAGATTATTAGATTTTGCCATACCAATAATATTAATTCTAACTTATATTTACCTATTACTTTATCACCAGACATTGGCAATCATACTACTCTTAATATATGTAATGGTCAGGTGTTGTATTTATCTAATTAACATCTTGAGACGGAAATATTCGAATTCTAAAAATGTAAAGATAATTTTACAGAATAACATAGATGTTCTCAAATATTATTGGTGTTTTGCCACATTTGACGGAGGTACTTCTAATCTTCAATTAAAATATCTTAGTAAAATTCTGACAGAGTACGAAATTAAAGAACCAACTAAAAATGGTATTATTTGTCATATAGATAAATTTAATGAATCATTTATAAAGTCTCTCTACGATAACCAAGGTTGTTCTTCTGTTGAAATACTTAAACTCGAAATTAAGGAACACATTGAAAAAAATATACAATTTCGATATTTATCAGCAACTTACAGTATTGAGAAATCATTAGTAATAGAAGAAGGAGTCGCATGCAATATTTGCCTTGGAGTTATTCAACCCTATAATGGTGTTCAATTCTTTTTCAAGCTGTATTTTTGTATTAAATGTCTACAGCGAAATATGAACAATATTGACAACAATGGTATGTGCTTCAATATACCATATAAGATATTATTGGAATGGAAAAAGCAAAATAACGATAAATTAACACATCTTTACGGATTCTTTGTTGTAAATGAAATCAATTGTTTCTCCAAAGAGGAAATGTTACTAATTTCAAAAAATATTAGCGATGAAATACTTCATCAAAATTTGGATTCTATTCAAAATATTACAACTGAAATAGCCGAATGTATTGAACAATTGTTCGAAATTGCCAATGAAAAGTATACATTCTCTCTTCGAAATAGAATAGTAAAAGAACCAATAGTTGATGAAAAATGTAAAATTTGTTTTAAAAATATTCGTCAAATTCATTTGATCAGCTTAAAATTTCAACATTACTTTTGTTATAGATGTATTAAAAAATCTGTTAAAGAGGATTTATGTAAATGTTGCAAAATACCATACGTTATCCTATTCGAACAAGGAGATAATACTAAATTGAATAATCTATATGAAATATTCTGCAAATGTAAAATACCAGTTTTCGATGAAAATACGATGGAGAAAATTTCCAATACTTTTAACGATGAAATCTTAAATTCAATATTAAGGGATAATTGTCAAGATAAGCGTCTTTGTCAAAAAAAAACTGTCAAAAAGGAATTACAGACAAGTATTGAAAAATTATATACATTAACAAGCGGAGCAGTTACATTTTCCATTAAAAATAGAGTTGTGATTTCAAGAAAGGAAAATCTATGTAGAATTTGTTCTAATGAAATTCCTCCTTTCTTTTCAATTCGATTACAAGCTGAACATTATTATTGTATTGAATGTATAAAGAAAAGCTTAGAAGAAAATTGTGAAGATTGCGAATGTTGCGAAATACCTTATCGTGTTTTATTCGAAAATCGAGATCATAATCAATTATATCATCTATATAATTTATTTATTGAACAGGAAATGTATATTCTTCCAAAACGTCAAATGATTAATTTAGTGCAAAGTCTAACAGAAAATTTCTGGTTTGCAATTGAATCTAAAAGAGTAAGCTCAAGGCAAAAAGCTATTTTACAATTGAAAGAAGCAGCAGAGAATATAACATACTATCTTCTAAAAACGAAAAGAGAAGATAACCCGTGCGCTGTTCTTATTCAAAATATTCTCTATTCTACAAAAATTGTAGATAGAGTTTGCTGCATTTGCCAATGTGAATTATTAGAAAGTTTTAGTCTTCAAACCATTTGTTCTCATTATTATCATATCAATTGCTTCAAGGATTTGGTTATGAGTGGGAGTACAGTTTGTTCCATTTGTAAAGAAGACTTTTTTTTTCGGATACAGGACAATTAGACTGGTATCATTTAAAAGCTTAAGGCTTGATTTGGATTAGGATTAGTGTCAAAATTGTCAAAATTCATTAACATTTTATATACCTGCAATACCTTTATAATCTAAACTATTTCTTTCAATTGTCACATCTAAATGTAAAATATATACCAAACAGCTTTCTTATCTTTTGTCAATATGTCAACTTATCCAATCCCTGTTGTCTAAAGTGATCAGATACCAATTTTTTGGCTTTGTTTCTCACCTTATGATTGTGAAACCTATCCCTGAGACTTCCAGTAGTAAGACCTACATACTGGATTTAGGGATCAACAGAAAACGGCCACAAAATTTTGAAATATTTACAATACTAATAAATTGAATAGAATAAGTTAATTTAAAATTTTTTTCTAGTAGTTAGTAAATATTGGATGAAAAATTATTAAATTGTCCACCAGTTTTTCCTAAGAGGTTGAATATTTTGCACTATTTTTAAATTCCTGCCAATAGGTTAAAGCAGCTCAAAGGAGATTTTTGCCACAATGCTACCATATTGTTTTGGATGTAAGAAAAAGATTAACAAGCTAAAGCAAGGTGTTTGTTCACTTTGTCATCATAAAGTCCATTGGGCTTGTTTATTGGGTAAGCTCCAAATTGATTTTAATGGAAACTAAGCTCTTTCTTTTGTAGATGGATTATGTTCTATATGTTCAAGTGTTGATAAAAAGAGAATCAGAATTATTCTGAGCAAATAGTGATGAAATTTTACAAGATAAAGCTACCAATAAAGTCTCAAATGCTGAAAATATAGATCTAAATCGTACAAGAGAAGAGATAGATTTGCAAAATATAATAATGGATGTTGATCATGAAGAAGTGGTTACACTTATTGAAACACTGAATTGTGATGCAGAGTACAGGCTTGTTGATAATCTTAGTGAAAGCAGCCCTCTGCATGGAAATACATTACATTTGAATGAGAATGATATCAATATGGAGGATTCCTTTGAAAGTATACCAGAGATAAACTATGACAGCAATGGTAATTTCAGAATATTCCCTACAGGAAGTCAAAAGGGCAAAGAATTTCTTCTATCTAATGGTCACTCATTTGTTGTCAAAAGAAAAGACAAGACTTCCATAATTTGGAGATGTACTTTGTTGTATTGTAATTGTAGGAATTTCTGCTTCTTCAGAACAATATTTTCCTTTCCAATCATTTATCAATTTACGAAAGTACTGGTCCAATTAGAACCTTTCAAGTTCGTCCACAAATAGTCTTAACAAATGTAATTTTGGTAGAAATAATTCAACAAAATACCAGTATTTCGTCCAAAGAATATGTATTGAGTAAATGAGTTTCTAGTTCTAAACAAGTAAGTTTAAACAACCAGTTAATGGTTAAAGAACTGAACTGACAAGCTGGGGAAATGCATTTCCTTTTATACATTTCCAAAGCTTGGGTTCAAGTGGTCAAAGGATTACAAAGTTGAAATCTGACAGTCTCATAATTCTCATGTAACAAAAATATGAAAAACTGTTATATCACACATATAAAATATAATCCTAAGATTAGGGCCACATGTCAAACATGGAGATGTGGAGTTAGAAGCAAGAAAATGGAATGTCCTGCCAGTGTCATTCAAAGAAATAATAATTTCTCTTTGGGGTCTAAATATCATATTCATGCCCCAAAAAAAATTTACAACAAATTATTGAAATGCAAGTTAAAAAAATACTAGTTTTACTCAAACCTTTAAACAAATGTTTAAATTAAAACGGTTTATTCGCAATGATAATACTTAAGCAAGTAACAATATGAGAGTTCAAAAGCAGAGTAGATAGTTCGTAATAACAGGTTGCCAAATTACTAAACTATCTTCCAATGTTGAGGAGTAGATGGATGGTTCCAGTGGAGGTTGTTTCCAGGTTATCTTCCCAGGTCCTGGGGTCCTGATGGGAGCGCCTAGAATGAAAATAGTGAGGTTGTATATGCTTTGAGGTTTGCCCCTGATATCCAATTGTCACTTTACAGTTGCCTAAATGTGTAGTTCATATTTATCTTCAGCAACAGGATGTTACAAGGTTCAACATTTAGGAATTTTAATTGAATTGTAACTTGGCCACACCTTTATCTTGATTTAATAAGAATTACTGGTGGTTGTTCTTCTTTATCAGTTTGTTGTTGAGCAGAGCTACAACTTTGTTTAGTTTAGGGTTTTCAGGGAGGTTTTCTGTGGTTTTACTTGTGGTGAGATGAAATAAAAATATCTTTATTGCAAGTATTTTTCAGTTCATTCCTAATCATTATTTTCTTTTAAAGATCTGGTACTCTTTCATAAGAATGTGATATCTTTCCAGGATAAAAGTTGTTCCCCTGCTGGCTGACAGTTGCTGAACATTTGTTTCTTTGATTCCCAACACTGCATATGCAGAATGTTGTCTTTTTTCTTTTTTCTTTATATTATAATAGAAATTGTTGAAAAGCAGAAAATCTTTTCCTTTTTGGCTCATTCCCTTGAATATCTTAAATGAATAATTCTCTTGATTACAACCTGATTTTGAAAAGCTATAAATCACACTTCCATCAAATTATTGTGTTGACTTGCAAGATTTTCAGTTATCTCATCATTTGATTCCATGTTAATAGAAATGGTAAAATTTAATATTTTTAATGAAAAAATATATGCTACAATATTTCTACCAGTTTTCTTTTAATTATGTAATAATATGTAAAAAAATAATTTCTTTGTATTACTTATATGTGAAAAATATGTGTCACATTTTCAAACTTTTGACTTAGTAGCATAATAATTTTTTTGTTTTGAAAATTGAAACTCAATTGGACTATTTCTCAGATGGCAATTTTCAAAAAGTTGGAAAACTAACCCTACCATTTTGGTACAGAAAGATCCGTGAAGAATGGATTCCTTAAGATCTTAATAACAACCAAAAGGAGATGATGGCGGCCCATTCTAGCCAGCCACTCACATAGTGAACGTTTTCTCCTGTACCCTCAGGAAATAATTTACTCTGATTCACACTTAATGAATGTTAAGGAAAAGGAAAACATAACACATAAGAATGTAGAAAAGAATAGAAAAGAACTGAAGCAAATCAGTGACAATAAGAAAGGTGACAAAGTACCACTTAGCAAAGAAACCTACAATTAACACAATTGCTGACTGGGTACAAATACAAAATGAACACATTGGACAAGAAATGAACAGGATAAATACAAGAAAATGGAGTGGATTATGCCAGTTAACTATTGGTAATAATACACAGAGTTATACATCACCTTGGAAAGCCATGGATAAAAATGTAGAATGCTTCAAGGTAAGAAGATACTTCTCATATCCAAGTTATGCAATAATGGACCTCCCATATCAAGACAGATACATAAGAGGATTTGGTGGACCAGGAACTAGAGTGTTAGTTACACATAAACCATTTGATTTATTAAATGCAAATAGGATAATGCTAACAGAGTTAGTTATTTCAAATATTAAAGCTATGAGACTGGAAAAGTTTCAAGGAAAAAAGAAATCCTTTTTGAGAAATGCAAATGAAACACATACATTGGTCAGCTATACTCTACTAAATTAACAGTTGATAGCTCAGTTCTCTAACTGTCAGCTGGTTGTTTAAACTTGCTTTTTTAGATCTAGAAGCTCATTTCACTCAATATATATTCTTTGGACAAAATACTCGTGTTTTGTTCATTAATTTCTATCAAAATTACATTTATTAGACTATTTGCAGACAAACTTGAAAGGTTTTATTTGTTTGAGTACTTTGGCAAATTGGTAAATGATTGGAAAGGACCATTACAGTTGTGACGAACCAGAAATTCCTACAATTACAATACAACAAAGTACACAGATAAATTAAATATTGTAACTTATAATGATTGGTATAGAGCAGGTGATAAAAGCTCTCACATGTTGCTAAAAACACAATCAAAACAATAGTAAAAACACTTATTTTGGAAAATATTATTTCACTTGATATTTGGGATATAGATAACAATTACATTCTGACAATGCTGAAAAATTCCAAATTGAAATTTACTGCAAGATTCAGATTGGATGATTTCAGATTGAAGGACAAAGAAATCACTTTCAACTCATTACCAAAATTAAATGTTTGGTATGTAAGTCCAACACGAAACCAATTTTAAATAATGAAAGCAAATGGGAAATTTACACTCTTACAGTGCAACCCAGATATTGCTAAAGGAAAGTGGAGGAAAACATGATGAAAAAGACATCACAATTCCAGAAACTGGAAGAAGAACTTCCAAAATTTACAAACTGTATTTAAACAACTATCTGAACTTTTATGCAATGAGTTTATCATGAGAAATAAGATGATGTCATTGCTTACACCTTTGGCAATTAACAATGGGTACGGTTAAACCCCATAATGGGTATGGTTTAACGTGGGTACAGTTTAACCCTGTAGTGGGTACGATTTAATCCAGGTATGGTTTCACCCCTATTCCAATGTTTCTACTCTAAATAATTCTATTACATTTTTTTAATACACATGTAAAAACTAATATTTTTACTGTCTCTATTGTTTCAATTTAAAGTGTTATCATTTCATATGTAATTATACAACTTTTGTAGCTTAGGAATGGTGGGCATTTTCAAAAAACACAGTGGGCGTTTTCAACAACCCCCTTTTAAAAGTTATGGATAATGCATGTTGCAAACTTCTATTGAAATATCATCAGCTGTTTTATTACTATTTGCAAATTCTTTCCAAACAAAACAAATTTTACCTTCCAATTCTTTATATTTATGTTTCTGAGTTTTGCATATCTCAGACTTTATTTCAATGGAAAAATTATTAAACAATGCTTTCAGATCAACAAAATCATTACACAACAATGTATTATTGGGTGTGACTTTCTACAACAAAATGGAACTACCCTTGACTTCTGTAAGAGGCAGGTTATACTCCAGCCAGTTATGGAAAAGAATTACCCTATTAAAACACAACATTTATCTTTCAAAGGACTCTCACAATGAAAAAGAATGAGAGTCAAATACATACCCTTCAGACAACAATTGAACAAGAAAATCCTAAGATGAAGCAAAAAGTTGCTCAAATTCTGAAGAAATATAAAGAAACTATTGCAGAAGACAGATTTGATATTGGCAATCCAGAGGTACCACCTCTGGAAATGACTCTTGAACCAGGTTCAACACCATATAGACAAAAGCCATATAGAATGCCTCCTCAAAAACAAGAAGAATGTAAACAACAAATAGCTGAGTTGGTAAAAAGCAAAGTTATTCAACCAAGTAAGAAAGAAGGAAGGTAGTCTACGAATGTGTGTAGATTATAGAAAACTAAACAAAATGACAGTTAAAAACAAGTATCCACTGCCAAATCAAGATGATCTTTTTGACCATTAGGGAGGAGGAAATAAATTCTTTTCTACAATGGATTTGACAAGTGCATACCACCATATTAACATCAAGAAAGAAGATAGGTCTAAAACAGCATTTATTACACCATTTGGCTTGTTTGAATTTATTAAGATGCTTTTTGGATTGACTAATTAGCTATAATTAAACAATCCTCACCAATAGACTCAACAGAAGTGGCTTGTGACTTAAGAGTGATGAAAAAGGATAACAAATGTTCTCAATTTTTACTTCTCACTATAAAGAACCTGCTTTTCCAAGTGGAACCAGTTGCTCATATTTTACAGCAGGTTAATCTTGAAGAAATTACCTGCACTGAGAGTAAGTCAAACAAGTTGTTCTACAAAACAACTCACAACTCATTAAATCCTATAAAAAACCAACCAGTGAAAGACAAAACATACGTGTATTATTCAGAAAGAGGATGCAGATTTCACACTGTGTCTGCAGTTAAATATCTACAATCACCTTTCTAAACCAAAAATTGAAATTTTCAGATTAGCTGTCCTACTCAACTATGGCATAAAGAAAGATATTTCATACCAACAATCAAAAATCAAGCAAGTAATCAGTTCACTGAAACAGAAGCAGGCCAGGTATGATAATATGATCACTGCTGCAGAGAAAAATGGCATTGTACCCAATCTATCTGGAATTAAGCAGTTTTTTCATAATTGGTACTATCAACCTGGGAAAACACTCTATATTATCATAAAAAATATTTGTTTGAGTATTGCAATTTCAACAATATGTATCATCATTTTCAAATATAGTGGCAAAAAGAAGAACACAAAGAGAAGACACAGTCACCACAAGTAAAACCACAGAAAACCTCCCTGAAAACCCTAAACTAAACAAAGTTGTAGCTCTGCTCAACAACAAACTGATAAAGAAGAACAACCACCAGTAATTCTTATTAAATCAAGATAAAGGTGTGGCCAAGTTACAATTCAATTAAAATTCCTAAATGTTGAACCTTGTAACATCCTGTTGCTGAAGATAAATATGAACTACACATTTAGGCAACTGTAAAGTGACAATTGGATATCAGGGGCAAACCTCAAAGCATATACAACCTCACTATTTTCATTCTAGGCGCTCCCATCAGGACCCCAGGACCTGGGAAGATAACCTGGAAACAACCTCCCCTGGAACCATCCATCTACTCCTCAACATTGGAAGACAGTTTAGTAATTTGGCAACCTGCTTTTACGAACTATCTACTCTGCTATTGAACTCTCATATTGTTACTTGCTTAAGTATTATTATTGCGAATAAACCATTTTATTTTAAACATTTGTTTAAAAGGTTCGAGTAGAACCAGTATTGTTATAACTTGCAAATGCATAGATTTTGCCAGCAAGAGCAGTACAATAGTATAAACATTAAATATAATGAAAGTTGTAAAAATGTAAAAAAGCAAATTTTTTAGATAAGATTTAACGAGAATTCTTTATCCTAAAGATTGAATAAGATGATATTGATAAGATAAGTGAACATTTATGTTTATTACAAAGAGAAACAGGCTGATAATGAATGATAAAAACAACTCTTCTTTAGAGGTTTGACAGTTGTTTTTTATCAAACACACAATGTAACATACTTTTTAACTTTTCAACTTTCTATTTAATGCTAGTTTTTGACTCTGTAAGCTTAATCAAATCTATAAGGGCCAACTCTAATTGAAGTATATATATATGTCAGATGATCATTGTCCTACATCCAAAATTTCTGTATTTTGAACAACATTCATGGAAGTCATTACTAAGAAAATCCAATTCTTTTGCTTGTGTATGTGATCTTTTTAATTATATAAAATATCTTTTTTATTTCTATGTGACTGCAATTTTACAGATCTGTTTTCCTTCTATAATACCATTTCTGCTTCGTTCTTCTGTCCTGTTGATGACAGAGGAAGGCCAATCAATGGGGTATTTAGAGATAATTCCTTGTGTGATACATATCATCATTGTATTAATGGGACTTCACATTTAAGGAAATGTCCACCTGGACTTCACTTTAAATTCTCCTTATCAGACTGCAGTCTAACTGCCTGTGTAGATCCTGAATTTTCTGGTTGTTTGGAAACTGCTCAACAACGCCCTATGTCATTTTCACAGAAAGCAATTCCATGTCCATCTGGTGAATTAGAATTTAATGGAAAGCAGTGTTTTACTAAGACAAATGAATGTAATCCTAATAAAAATGATACTGTTCCAAGTTTGATTGATTGTAGAATTTACTATCACTGTAACAATGGTGAATCTTAGCCACAGCAATGTCCTGATGGCTATTTTTATACTCCATTTGTTAATACCAGAGAATGTAGTGCTCAAATGTGTGTCCCACTTAAAGATTCAAAGTGCCCCATTGCAGGTGGTTGGAGTGAATGGTCAATCTGGTCTGACTGTGAGCCAGAATGTGGTGGTGATGGTATTCAAACAAGGAGAAGAGATTGTAACAACCCTATTCCTGAGAATGGTGGACCTGAATGCCCTGGCACTCCAATTGATATAAGAGAATGTAAATCTCCTAATTGTACAGAACCTGCAAATCCAGCATTTATGGTATCATTGCAAGAGACAACACATGTTAATGCTGAAAACATTCAGTGGAGCTCTATTGATGTAAATGATGATAATCTATATAATTCAGTGACAAAAGAAGTACGAATTAAAAAGCCTGGAATGTACTTTTTTTCTATAACAACAAGAACTGAAAAAGGTACTTATATGGGATTGGAGAATTCTGGTGTAACAGTAGGTCTATACAAAAGGATAATGTATACTCACAGAACCACAACTAATACAATTTCAAGAAGTGCTTTATATTTCTTAAGCAGTATACATAGACCTTTTATTAACCATTATAAAAACAATTCCATTCTATTTGGAACAGAAAGAGGAAAGGAAACAGCTTGGGTTGGTTTTAGATATGAAACCAATAATTATATTTGTGCTGCTACTGATAAAATATCTCTTGCTTCTTCAAAACCTTTAGATATTGTCATTGCTCTGAGAGGTTTTACAATGTCACCAAGCAAGCAAATTATATATTCAAGGCAAGCTGGTTTATACTATATCAATTTTGGTGGTGGAATTAAATATCATCAAAGTGATCATAAAATTGAAATTTCTACAAATAATTTTATAGGAAAATATTCTATAATACATTCCAAAATATACTTTGGAGGCTATAGGCAGCCTACATATCACTTGTCTAGAGGATTTTTGCACAATATGAAAGCACATGAACGATTGCAGCTTCATGGAAGCAGACATTATACAAGTCCCATGTTAGAATCATACATAACGGCATTTCAGTTGAATGAATCGTTGCCAGCAGTTTTTGGTTATAACAATCTAACACAATGTTCTTCAACACTTAAAACATTGACATTTGATACTATAGCAATAGACACATCAAATTCATGGAATAGAGCAGGAGTTTTTACAGCACCAATCAATGCAACTTATTTTATAGAATTGAGCATAGTAGCCCATCAAGCTGAGGCTCATATTGAAGTAAACAATGGGATTGCTTTTACATTACACAAGAATAACAATCATAATAGATATGCTGAGCTAGTATCCAGAACAGGCCTTGTGAAATTAAAAGTAGGAGACACTTGCAAAGTAATGTATAGAGGTTGCGTGGAAAATACAGATATGTGACTATGAATGTAATTGAAATTTGAATAAATAGCCTGATATGGTAATTATTGATTTTTAAGGATAATTTTCTTTTGGAATAAAATTTTGTTTCAGTAAAAAAGCTATAAAAAAAATTGATACATTCATCTCTTGTTTGGCTTGATTCGTTCTTATGCCCATGGTCATTCAACTCTGACTTGGGCCATCTGTAAATATTAAGCTGACATCAAATTGTCCCCCTTTGCCAAAAATCTGACTATCAATTATTTGATAAAATTTCCACTGATGTCCATATTATTTTCATTTAACAATTCATTTACAGCCTTTCCTGTGTCACCCTTTGCTTTTTTCTTTTAAGCCTCTTCACAGTTCTACTCTCTCTAGCTAGATCTCTTTCTATGAATCTTTTTGGATGATCCCCTATTCCCTTGGTTAGGTGGCTTATATTTTAAAATATTGATTACTGTAGATGGTGCCATTCCCAAGTCCCTTGCCATTTCCCTTACTTTTCCTAATTCTTTATATTTTTGAATTACCAGACTCTTAATCTCATTTTGCTATACCAAAATAAAATAAATGATTCAAAAAAATAGTGTTCACAAAATATACTTTTTCCTTAAATATGTATTCAGTAAAATAAGCTTCTAGTTCTAAACAAGCATATTTTAACAACTGGCTGACAGTTAAAAAATTAAATTGACAAGCTTGGGAAATGCATTTCCTTTTATATATGGCTGTATTTTTAAAATGGTACACTGTAGGCCTATATTTTTAGCATTAATACAAAGTGAATTGATTAAAGTACTGTCACTAAATACTTTCTCAACTTACAAGCCCTGGTTTAAAAGTTATTGAGACTTTAGTTGTGGCATGGTATGGATTTTAAAGAACTGGACAGCAGAGGAGACAATGTGCCATGAGTATCTTGAAATGGCAAATGATAGCGATAAAGAAGAAGATTTTTTTGAGTTTTGTCTAAACTTTAGATTATGTTTATGGCGATACTACCTTATGAGGTGGTAATATTGTGGAACAAATCTTGGACAAAACAGCTCCATTCCCACATCAAAATGTTGACGATTGGATTGAGTTTAAGACACTTCTTGCAATGTTGAAGTTGGTAAAATACAAAGGATGCTCTCGACTCGAGAAACTTATACAGTTTTCACAGAGATTACTATATGATGCTCAATCCCAAACTATATCCACAATTAATAAACATCTCGGTGATTTTGGCTCAGTGGTAAGAAAGTTAGGTCTATTGTCTGTTTTACATCAAACTTGGTGTGCAAAGAAAGACAGCTGATGATTCAAAGGTTCCACAGGTGTCAGAACTGTCTACAAGGTGGCCATACTAGTGTCACTGAAAGCCATATCTTCTATCAATTATAATCAATCAAAGGAAAGGCAAGAAAGAATGACCATATACGAGACAACAGTACAAACCCCAGCGTCTGGTAAATCAACCAATCACATAATTACAGCCCTTATCGATACCGGAGTGGCAGTGTCACTAATCAGCAGACAATATTTAGAAACTATATCATACCATTCAGTAGCTGAAAATTGTTGCGGAATTGATATATCTTACGTCAGAAATGAGTTCCAAACAATAGCTACAGAAAAGGTTAAAGTCATATTCCCTAAATTGAGGGGGAGGGGGGGGAAACCTCAGGTATACAACCTGATTCCATAATTTTCTCTTGCATCTTTAGTTGTTTAAATATTATAGAAGCAAATAAAGCAGTATTATTACATTTTCTTTCAGAGATTTCTTATCAAAGTTTTTTCTCTACAAAATAATATTAGAATTCAAAAATGAGGCCACAATACTTTTCTTGCAAAAAGACAATAAACAAGCAAAAAAAGGGAAAATGCTCTCTTTGTAAGCATACTAATCATTGGATTTGTCTACAGGGTATGTTAAAAATCATTTTTTAATCAAATTTATATATTTCATATTATTTCTTGCAGACAATCTGTATGCACTCTGCGTTTCAATTCAAAATTGCCAAGCAAAGATTGTGTTAAGAAGATGTGACAAAAAGGAATTTGAAGCTAAACAAATAGTTTCTGACAATGAAATGATTGATTCTCTTATCACAAGTGATGGAATGGCTGATGAAAACCATCCTCAGGAAGATTTGGGAGACCATCAGATTGTTAAATATTTTTGTACAAATAAACCTGTTGCTATAGATATTACAGTTGTTGATGTGGAAGGTTTTCATAACAGATTGAATTTAAATGTTGGAAACAGCAAATCATTTTATCATCTTCTAGATGAGTTAAAAAGAGAAGCCGATCTTGTGCCAGTAATACAAAAAATGCTATGTAAAAAAAAATTGAAGCATTATCAAAAAAGATTTATGTAAATCTGAAAAAGAAGAACGAGAACTTTCCAGGTGACCCTAATATATTGTCCAATACAATTATTCTCACTACAATGAGCTGACCATTCTTGACTGCCTTCTTCTTTGCTACTTATTAAATCTAAGGTTAGTTAACATAAATAAAAATTGGTGACTTTAGATGTACAATCAGCTCTATTTTCTGAAAGAGCAATATCAGTTAAATATTCCAGGTCACTTATATCTTCTGAAATGTCTGCAAAAGACTTGTCTCTTCCAATCCAATTCTTCAGTGTATGATTTTTGACAATTCAGAATAAATTCTACTGTTGGCGCTTTATGTTTCTTTTGTCTAAAAAATGAAAAGAGACAAATTCCTACGGATGCGACAGAAAACGTCCATAAACAGAAAGAAAGTGTCCATGACCCACAAGAAAACATCCATAAACTGAAAAAAAAACATCCATGAACCAAAAGAACACATAAATTACAAAAAATTTCACTTAAATGCAAATATATGTTGAAAAACGGATACGACAGAAAATGTCCACAAATGAGTGCTTTTACCCTAACCCTAACCCAGCCCTTAACTGTACCTAACCTTTTCCATTACCCCTAACCCTGAGAGGAGACCCTCCTAAGTACAAATAAGTTGCTGTTTTCTTTTGCCTAACCATTTCTCCATCCAAATTTTTGTCTAGAAATTTCTCATTTGTGGACGTTTTCTGTCAACTCCAGTCTAAATAGAACCACAAGTTCGTTCTCAACCACCAGAAGAGGAGAATAGAGGTCGTCCAATCTCTCTTATCAAAGATTGTTTAGAATTAGAATGGTTATAATTCACAATAAAAGCAAAGCTATCTCTTTCTTAAACTATATTAAAAAAAAAGATATCAATTTAAAAAATTGTTATTTGACAAAAGATCAATGTCTAAATATAAAAAATTTATTGATAAAATGCTCAAATATTGAAAGAACAAAATTTAAGTAAAAATCATAATATAGATAATGAATTAGTAGAGATTTTTAATGGACTTTTGCCATAAAATGTAAAATGGACTACTTAATATTCTTGATAGACTTTGCTCCTCTTCAAAATCTTTGAAAAGTATCAATTTAAATTTCTGTAAAATATTTGGAAATGCTTGTAAACATTTGGGAAAATTATTGGAAAATTGTTGCAACTTAGAAGAAATAGATTTAGGTGGAAATGTTGGTATGGGAGTTGGATTATCAGATAGATTTCAAGGACTTTCCAACTCATCAAGTACTTTAAGAGAGATCAAATTTTCAGAATGTTCTTTAACTTTACAAGAATGCAATTACATAGAAAATATATATTAATTCTTTTAGTTCTCCATTTAATATTGTATGAATAGCCTTTGTGAAAGACTAAGAGTTTACCTTTTTGACTTCCATTTGGCAAAATTTAACAATGAAAATCATCAGAAAAATTATCTTTGCCAATTGCTTTGCGACTCACACAAATAGAACTGTACTGCTCTTGCTTGGCAATTTCTGTTAGAAATAAGAATGTTCAATGGTCAGTTATTATTTAACAAAAAGGAAATTTTCACAGTCATTAGAATTTTACAATTTTTTATGACAAAGATGCATTTAACACAATTAAAATTAAGAAATTTCCTACTGCAAAGCTTGCACTTATAACAAAGACACTGGTGTCAGTTGTAGTTCCTGTGACACAAATGCATACAAGGAAACAAGCAATAACATCAACACATGCAAATTATGCTCCACTGCAATTTCTGGTTGTAACAAGTGTTTGGATAAAGATACGTGTACTGAATGTATGTCTAAAGCCTATGCTCTCACAACATCAAAGAAATGTGAAACATGTAGTTCCATTCTGCAAATTAGAGAGGTTCTACTATAACATGTTTAAAGTGTAGTGCAAAATATGCCCCAAAATTTAATGCAAATAGTGGAGCCATTGATTCTTGAATGTCATGTTCAATTTTGAACTGTGATTACTGTGAAGTGATTGGCGACAAAGTGGAATGTCTGAGATCTCCTTGTGCTTCCAAAGCTTCTAGTGTAAATAACAAAAAGTTTTCATTTTCAAGTAAAACTTGTGCTGCAAGTTGTCCTTCTGATTTGTCATGTGCAACCAAAAAAGTAAATGATGAAAATGAAGCCTGCTTTTGTAGATCTTGTCCTGTTATTCTAGCAGGAGCAAATGCAGGAGTGTGTAAATCTTGTGGAACCGACTGTGAAGACTGCCAACTATCAGCTGACAAGATGGATGTTGAATGTAAAACATGTAAAGGTTCAAAACAATGGGTATCAATAGAAGTATCTAGTAGTCTGACAAAAGGATGTTATGGTATTTATACAAAATGAATTTTTTGTGGAAAAAAATACTAAAACTTTTTAAAATATTTGACAGACTGTACTATTGCATCACCTCAATGTAAAGTTCTGGAACTTTCTGGAGGTAGTTGTAGATGTAAATCAGGTGAATGTATGGGTGATACAAGTATTTTTGGTAAACACACTGTTCTACAAGCTGGTTCTGGATATCAAGGCTGTAAAGGTAACGCATTTTATAATTTAACTGATTGATGTCCAAAATATTTACATTCAATACAATTTACAGCTTGCGTTGAAGAAATTCCAAATGTTCTCTGGTGTAGTGGTCCGATTGGTTCAGCTACAGTTGATAAGTGTCAATATGATTATACTCAGAAAATTGGAGCTGAAATATGCTTATGTATACATAATAACTTTAATAAAAAACAATTTTTTTAAACTGTATGTTTCCTATGTTGTTTAGCAATTCCTACTGGATGCAAAGCATTTGTAGGTCTCGCAGTTGGATGACCAGAACATGCAAGAAGTTTGGCATGCACAAAAGGATATTATTTCTCTTCAGATTCTTGCGCACCTTGCCCTGCTGGTTGTTCTGATTGTGATGTTGAAGGTGTTAATCCAGTATTTTGTACAGCTTGTACAGATCCAAATAAACTTGGTATTGACAGTCAAACGCCAGTAGCTACATGTACTCCTGCTTCTGTTTCCAATTGTGATACAAAATGGGCATCAGTTGCTGACCAGCACCTGTTGCAGATTGTAAATGTATTAGATGCTCTGATACATTTGCCACAGCAGATCCAAGCGTTGTAGCAAATACAAATAAAAGAATTGGAGATTGTGTTCCTGGTGCGCCTGCTGGCCCTCATATAGCTGGTTGTTTACAACAATATAATAATGCTGGAGGAGGTACTCTTGATTGTGTAAAATGTGCTAATAACAAAGAAATAGTAACATCAAGTGGATGTGATTCAGTAACTGGATGCAAAGAGAACTACTCAATTGCAGGAGGTGCAGTTGTCTGTATGGTTGCTGCAGCAGGAAAAATGTTAGATACTGGATCAGTAATGTCAGTTATTACAGCTGATCCTACAGCACTGCAAAGGATATTTTGCATCAGCAGCATCAGTTGCTCCAGCAAATAGTGGCCGATGTGCGGGATGTGATACTGGATTTGTTCTTGATTATTCTCCAACAAAATATGATTGTATATCATGTACTGCTGCTGGATTGGATCATTGCACACTTGCTGTATCTTCGGGAGGTACATGTATGTGTGGAAGATGTACTGCTGATGCAGCAGGAAAAGTATACCATAAACATCCTACATTATCAGGATGCACAGAAAATAATGAAATTCCCAACTGTTCTGCTCACACATTGAAACTTAAAAATGGAGTTTATGTAGTAGCATGTACAACCTGCACAGGTGCATATATTTTAGCTGAAGATGGATTGTCATGTGTGGTTTCCTCAAAACCTTGTACTGGAGGAACAAAAGTAGTTGCTGCTGGAGCAACAACATGCACATGTGATTGCGGTGCTTCAAGATTAATAAATAGTGCTGGAGATGATTGTATTGCTTGTGTAACTGCTGGCAAAACAGGATGTTCAGAGGTACAGCTAAATGGCATGTGGTACAGGATGTCAAACCTGCACAGTTGATACATCTGGAGGTTCTGCTACAACTGATAATAAATGTACAGTTTGTTCAGCTGGTTATGCACTCAATAATGTAGGACTTTGTATTCAATGTCCATAGTCACCACATGTGTGCTCTGATTGCAGAATTGATCCTGATGATCAAACAAGAGCACTAGAGCACTATGTCTATCATTTGGATGTGGAGCTGCTGCTCTAAGAGATAGCGAGTTCAATTGTGATTCATGTGCCTCTCTTACTGGTTGTGACATATGTGTTAAACAAATTGGTGATACTCTGAAATGTTTGAAATGTAATACTGCATATTATATGGATAGTAATAGTGTATGTCAGTCATGTGTATTTGGATGTGATTTCTGTGTGGATGGAACAACTTGTATTCCAAATGGTTGTAAGGATGGATATATCAGACATAGAACAGAAGGAACTTGCATACAATGTACTGGTAGTGGAGTTTCAAGATGTGCATATGAGACAGCAACTAGTGACACCCTCATACCAAAGATATGCAAAACAGGATATACATTAAACACTATTACAACACCAGTAGCATGTGAAAGTATGAAAATATTATAAGCATTATTTCTTTATCAATAAATTATTAAACAGGAATTATAAACTTATATTTTTAGAATGCAATCCTAATTGTAAGAGCTGCTCAACAAATGGAAAAGACAAGTGTGATACTGGACAATGTAATTCTGGTTATTTCCTTGATTCTAGTGATCAAAAATGCTACAACAATAAAGCTGGTTGTCTTGCATCAACCAGAAGTAATGAAAAGACTACTTGTTCATCATGTAATAGAGCAACTTCAATACTTTCAAATGGTGAATGTAAAACATGTCCTACTGGTTGTAGTGGATGTTCATTTGATGCTGCAACAAGCAAATTTACTTGTTTATCTTGTATAGCACAATATTACAAAACAACTGATAATTTGTGTTTGCCTTGTCCAACTGGTTGCAGTGTTTGTTCTCTCAATGGAGCATCAGTTGAATGTACAAGTTGTCTTGCAAAATATGACTTGAAAGGAGCTTTGTGTGATTTATGTGGTATTGGAGATTGTCAAACATGTTCTGTTCCATCTGGTGGAAGTGATTTGGTTTGTTTAACATGTTCAAATAAGTTTTATTTGAATAGTGATGATTGTGGTCATTGTCCAAAATTCTGTAAAGAATGTTCATACAATCAGAAATATGAATGTACAAAGTGTTATGACAAATATGCCAAGGCATTGGATGGAACTTGTGTACCATGTCCATCAAATTGTGAAACATGTACAGCCAATGCTGATAAGACAACAAGATGTACAAAATGCATTTCAAAATCATTTTCACTAAAAACTGATGGAACTTGTATCCCATGTTCTGAAGCTGCTTTTGCCAATTGCTCAACTTGTGGACCAACTCCTTTAGGTGGAAAAGCAAAATGTGATACGTGTAGTATAGGATTTGCTCTGCAAGATGATAAACTAGCATGCATTTCATGTTCAATTACTGGATGTGGAATGTGTGCACATGGTAGAATATGTTTGAAATGTAAATCAGGATTCTTTTTACATAATTATGACAGTTTGTTCTTTACTAATAATTTTTTTTCTTGATTTCTTGATATGTATCACTAATGTGATTTTTTTTTAAATAAACACTTGTTGTTGTTGTCAACATGTTTGTTTATGTAGCATCATATCCTTTGCCTATAAAAGAGGTTGATTCTGGTAGTTCATTACCTTCTACTCTAGAGGCAACATCTATTTCAACACTTCTATTATATAACCATAATCATTTTCATGAACTCCAAAGTTTCCTCTTCTTTTCTAAATTCTTTCTATAACCAAATTCCTGAAAAGAAAGCATATATTGAATTAAATAATGAACATTTTTAGAAATAGTGAACCTGTATTTTTCTTAATATTTCATGTAACCAGGAAAAAAAACACCCAGTCAAAATAGCATCAGGCCATACATTTTGTAAGGTTTTCTAAAGGATAAAAATGTTTTTTAGAAAACTGTAGACTTAACTCAATAGTATTTAATATCAATACTTAACAAGGTCATTGTGTTAGGTAGGACTATGAAAGTTCAAAGAGATGATTTCATTTGTGTGTTCATTGTCAAGTGGTGCCATCATTTGGTGTTTGCAGACGCCATTGCTAATCTCAAACCCTAACACAGCTAGGAGGACAACACTTTAGGAAAATGACTTCAGGGTATCAGTACAACCTGGTAATGTAAGCAAAAAAGGAAATTCCCCTGTAATACTGACCTCAAGTCTATATTTTCAATAAAGCATATTAGTAAAATTGCCACTTATTAGGATTTCAGATTACAAAAGGCTATCAACTATATTTATATAATTGTAGATTATTTTAATAGGAGGGCAATTAGAAAATAATATAATGAAGATCAATTTAAAAACAATTCTGTTTTTATTGGACATAGTTAGCTAAGGAGAATTGAATATTTAATGAATGTATTTGAATGATTATTCACCTAATTCCGTTCAAGTAACTTATCCAGCAGGCTTGTCATTTCCTACTGGAATTATTTATATTGTAAAAAGGCCTTACTTTGTTTTGTACTAAATTTGTATTGTTTCAGCTTGACAAGTTTATGCATTTGCAAGTTAAAACATAACTGGTGTGTATTTCAGCTTCTGATAAATGCTCTTAAGGAAACTTAGTAGACTTGAGACAATATTATTTTATATGAATGTTTAATAAAAGCATTGATTGCGCAATACCATCATATCTATAAGAATAATATTAATAAATTTAAAATGTAAGTCAATTGAATCAGTACCAAAATTTCCTCTGGAACATTATTATGAGAACTATTGTTGAATTAGCTTGTGTTCATCTCTCTCCTTTAGGATCCGATCTTACATTCAAAAAGTTCTTCTATCAAACTAAGCGTCATTTGGCCTTCAGAACATTCTACAGCATGTTCAAAGACAAAGTTATTTATAGAATTTTCATAATAACTCCTCACTCACAAAATAAAGACAGCTCAGTATCAAATTAGTCTAAATTTTCAGGGTGTTTCCTATTTAACACTAACAAACAAGCCAACTGCTGTATGCAAAGAACTTTTCAATGTCTGCTACATAACTCAAAATATTGGTTGGTCCTGTCTCTATGAGAGGTCTCTATTTTTTTTCATACAATACAATTCAAGTAAACAGAGTAAGCAATGTTTGAAAAAAGATTTCTTTTTTTGTGGTCATGAGAGACTCTTTTATTCATATATTTTTATATATAAATACAAAATTTGAATGGTTTGGAAGAGAACAATTTAAAAAAGAGAAATGGAGAGCAATTTAAATTATTTCTCTTTTTCCTTGATGTTTCTTAGTATCTTATCTTGTTAGTTAAAAAATTACTGGTTTTATTGGAGTATATTTACAAAAGTTTTTTTTTATAGCTGCTTTTAGTGACTTTAAACTAGGAATTGATTTTGTTGGCATAGTTACACAAGATTATAAACAATATATCCAAGCAGAGAAGATACTTGGTGCTACACAGTGCCAGTTTGTTTATGTTTAATACTAAATCGGATGATTTCAAGATGATTATTACATTCATAGAATTTTTATAAAATCGGATTTTGGTAATATAACAACATCAACTGATACTATTCTTCTTGACAATGGACAAATTTTAGACTGGAATGGAAATATACAAAAGACTATCGTCAGATCTAAAATATTTGAATATTTAATAACAAAAAATCAAATATTTATAAAATCTTTAGTTTATTTTGAAAAAATGATTCAAATACAGAAATTTTCTCATTCTTTATCAGAAATTCATTTAGATGTAAGTTTTAAACTGTCACCTAAAGACTATAAAGAAATGGATGGACTTATTGGCAACATAGGGAAAAAGGAATACAATTTTTACTCCCAAGTTCAATCAAACAAGGAAAATGGATCAAAAGTTATTTCAATTGCAGTTGATACAAATTTAATTTTTTGGAAAAAATGTAGTGAGGAACCAAGCTGAATGTTGGTTGATAAATGTTAATGATATTTTAAAACCATTTAAAATATCAGAGTATTTATGGAAAAATGTGGATTTTTTTTAAATATATATAACAAGAAAAAACCAATCTAACCTATATGAAGAGAATTGAAAATTTAATTGCTTTTTTAACATTTATCTTAGTCCATTTTTAATACAAGCCTATAAAAAACTATTATTACTACAGAATACATTTAAATAGCAATCTACAACCCCATGATAGGAAAGTACACTGATAAAAAATAGTAGTTCGTAGAGAAAACTGGTAAAGTTTTCAAAAACTACTTGATTAAACAAGATAATCATAACAGGTTTAAAATGGACAGGGTTGTTGAAAAAACCCATTGTGGTTGTTAAAAATGTTCATAATTAATAGAGCCAGTGGAAAAATTAATTTATACACAATTTTCATTTTTCTGAGAGTCCAATTCAGAAAGTTTTATTACATTCAACCAACAATGAATGAGAGGCACAAAATGGTTTGTCAATGGGACGTTTTGTCCAGGTTCTGTTGAACATGTGCCAATTCCAAAATAAGCCTTCCTCTTCAGCATCTGGTATTGAATAAGATGTAACAATTTTGAAATGCATCTTTTCCATGTTCTTTGTCAGTTAAAACTAATTTTATTATTAATTGGTAAACAGCTCAGAAATTATGTATATAAAGTAATTCCGGTACACCAATTCCAAAAGAACATCACAAATTGGAAAGAATGTCCCAAATGGCAATTTGGAAATATTTTTTTTATGAAAAGAATATCTCAGATAAAAAGTTTTAGAAGATGAAATTTATTTAAAGAATAAAACAACTAAGGTGCAAAGTTTAGTTTTCAGATATATGAACTACATTATTTACATAAAAAAAATATTAAGGATAAAACTTGTTGGATTGAGCAAAGACAAGGTAAAATGTAAAGTTATGATACAGGAATATTTTAACCTGTAATTTCAAATTAGTAATGAATTAAGTCTATAGTTTTCTAAAATATATTTACAACAAACTAAAGTCACCTTTTCAACTTTGTTTTTGACCTTCATTTTTTTGTGGAAAGAAAAAGTAATCCTTTGAAAGAGTTTCTGTTCTAATTGGAACTTGGTTAGGTATCATGTTTTCTGTAGATTGATTTGCCCAAAAGTTTACATATTTTGTAACTTGTTGGATAGTTCTCAAACGGCTTTCTTGTAAATAGCACATAGCTAGAATGAATCCCCTAATATAAATACTGCCACTCTTAGTTCTGTAAGCTGCTTCTCCTATTTTGAAAAAAAAATCAAAAGAATTTACAAAAGATTTTCTAACCAATAAAAATTATTAACAAATACCTTTAAGAGTTGAATACATTTCATGAAATTGCACCTTTTTTGGTTCTTGTAAAGGAAGATAATTTTGAACTGAAGTAGGTGAAGCATCTGTTTGAAGGGGTCTGGAATTGCCTTGGTCTACTATTGAATATTTGAAAATATTATTTAATAGTTTTAGTTACAATATACTTTTTACAGTACTGGTCAAAGGTCATTATTTTATATGGTCTGATCTATTGGTTTTAAAGTGAATAAATATAATAAAACAAACCTATTGCTCTGGATGATTCTTTTTTTCTACAAGCTTGAAAAATAAATATTTTTGGAATATCTGTAAGTATTGGAAAAGAATCAGCATCAAATTGGCATAATACATCTTCAAATGATATTTTATCATTTTCTAGTATAATATGATCATTTATTCCATGAGCTAGAATAACCACAATTAAAGATTTAATTAAGTTATCTTTGTTCCGCTCTTCTATCACTTTCAAATGTCTAATTTTTTTTAATAATTCTTTTTTATTAACATCTTTCCATTCTTCTATTTCATAATTTAAACTGCTAAAAACTGCATAAAGATTGAGTAAATCAGTCCTTGTTCCAACCTCCCTGTTCTCTGTGATAACAATAATTATAGCTTTATGCCTTCCTCTAGTATCAAATAAGGACTAAAATATTGAAAAAAAAAAAATAATAAATTACAATATAATTAATAAATTATATACAAAACCGAATCATCAATTTGTTTCAATAGTTCAGGATCCTCTAAAAAACTTTCACTTACAAAAGAAAAGGGTAAACTAACTTGATTTTCTGTTGAATTTAAAAAAAAAAAAAAAAAACAAAAATTAAACTTTAAATTTTGAAACTAAGTTTTTAAAAATTAATTACTATTTTTTTCTGTAAATGTAATAAAATTCTTTGGGCATTTATCATCATTTTCATCTTTATCTAATTTTTTTCCTATTTCTTTATAGCAAATGAAATTATCAAATAAACTCGTTGAAGTTCCACCCTTAGTATTTTCTATTTTTAGAGTAACACTGGATTCAAATTTAGATATATCAATGCCAGGAATTTCAAAATGAATAGATCCTTTGATACCTTGAAAACAAAAAAGAAAATTTGAATTGAGGTAATATATTTGAATGAATAAATTAAAAATTATATATCAACTATTTGTGGCCAGTTGTAGAAATTGTTCCAGTTTTATGTATTTATCTAAGAGGAAAAGCTAATTTGTTTTAAAGTTCTGAAAGAAGATTTTAGTCCTTCACACAGGCTTTTTAATACATATAAACAGAAAAAGAATGACTTTCTTTCAAAAGTATTATCACTATGGTAATGATAAGTGTGAAAAGGAAGTAATTTAAAAGACATCCAGTCTCCATCTAGTAAATAATTATCAGTAAGTTCAGAATTTAATTTGAAAAATGGAACAGTTAACCAGCCTAATTCTTTTTCAATCATTAAATCATTGATTACTTCAATAGTATTTGGAAAAATTTTAATAAGAAAAAGAATATCTTTTTCTGAGAAGGTTTCTGTTAAAACCATACTAATTCCAATATCAGAATAAGAAAATGTTTGCTGTCTTTTCATGAATAGAAATATTTCTACATAATTCTCATGCCAATTAACAACAGAATGTATATGCCCTTTCCTCCTATCTAGATTCTCTTTCAAATTAGAATTTCTTTCAATTCTATTCAAATATTCCATACATTCATCTGAAAGGAAAAATATCATTTTAAAAAAAAAAAGAAAAAGGAAATTTAAAAAGTTGTTACAATTTTTCAAAAGACTTTCAGTCATCCTGCTTTGGTTCTTATTTGTATTTGATGTTTCAAAATTAATATCAAACATATGTTTCTGTGATTTTAGTTCATCAGCATAAAATCCAAGTTCAACACCAATATCAACACTCTTAGATCTATAAATTGTTGTTGGAAAAGCTTTTTTAAATGGTAAACTTGATTGAGGACAAGAATCAGAGGAATAAATGGAACATCCTCTAAGAGTTTGTAAAGAAGGATTGATAAAATCATAATCCAGTATAGCTCTGTTTTTAATGGTTGAAATGTTAAAACTAACAATGGTTCCAAATAAATAGTTTGAATGTAATATTTGGTTATCATTCAAGTCACATTGCTTCAAATCAATTTGTTTTAAAGTTTTTAAAGAATTTTTGAGTCCATCACATATCATCATAACTCCATTTCCCATATTTGGATTCCTTGATAAATTAATCAATTCTAATGATGAACAATGCCTAAATATTTCTCCTAACCATTCTGCTTGATTAAAGGTTAAATCACAATTGTTCAATGAAATTTCTCTTAAATTCTTTGAAGAAGTTTTGAGTCCATGACATATATTTTTAAATCCTCTTCCCATTGTTACATTTGAACTTAAATTTATGACTCTTAATAGAAAACACAGTTTAAATATTTCTCCAATATAATCGGCTTGGTGAGTATTTAAATTGCAAGATGGCAAGTCAATACGTTTTAAAGTATTTAAGGAAGATTTAAGACCAAAACATATTTTAAAAAACATTTCTGTACCTTCATTCAGAGGTGAATCAAGTATTTTCAATGTTGAATAATGTTTAAATGTCTTTTTTAAGCTAATAGTTTGGCTATAATTTAAATTGCATTTTCTCAAATCTATACATTTTAATGAGGTTGAGGAAGATTTGACTCCTTCAAATATACTTTCAAATTTATACCCCACACTTTGGTTATCTGACAAATCAATTACTTCTAATGATAAAAACTTTCTTAATGTTTTTCCCAGACATTCAGTTTGTCTACAACTCAAATCACAAGAGGAAAAGCTAATTTGTTTTAAAGTTCTGAAAGAAGATTTTAGTCCTTCACACAGGGCTTCGAATCTTTTTCCCATAGTTTGATTCTTAGATACATTGATAACTTCAATTGATGAGCACATGCTAAGGAATTTTCCAAGATGTTCCACTTGCTTAAAATTCAAACAACAAGAGATTAACATAATTTGTTTTAAATTGGCTAATGAAGACTTGAGTCCCTCACATATCATTTTAAATCCGGATCTCATGCTTTCATTCTCAGATAAATCAACCACTTCTAATAAGAAACACTGTTTAAGTGTTTCTCCAAGATATTTAGCTTGTTCCTTATTTAAAACACACCTTCTAAGGTCAACTGCTTTTAGGCACATAAATGAATAATTTTGTCTATAAAATATCTTTTTAAGCCCATACCCCATACTCTGATTCTGTGACAAATCAATATATTCTATTTTTGAACACCATCTAAATGTCTTTGCTAAACATTCAGCTGCCTGAAAATTAAAATCACATTTTCTCAATTGAACTTGTTTTAAAGTGTTGCAAGAAGATTTTAGTCCATTGCATATCATTTTAAATTCATAACCCATGTTTTGATTCTCTGATAAATCAATATTTTCTAATGATGAACAGAAGCTTAACAAATTTCCCAAATATTTAGCTTGTTCATAATTTAAACCACATTTTCTCAACTGAATTTGGTTTAATGTTTCAGAAGAAGATTTTAGTCCATCACATATCATTTTAAATTCATAACCCATGCTTTGGTTCTCTGATAAATCAATATTTTCTAATGATGAACAGACTCTAAACATATTTCCTAAGTATTTAGCTTGTTCATAATTTAAATCACATTTTCTCAACTGAATTTGCTTTAATGTTTGAGAAGAAGATTTTAGTCCATCACACATCATTTTAAATTCATAACCCATGTTTTGATTCTCTGATAAATCAATATTGTTTAATAATGAACAGGAACTAATTAAATTTCCCAAATAATTAGCTTGTTCATAATATAAATCACATTTTCTCAATTGAATTTGTTTTAATGTGTTGCAAGAAAATTTTAGTCCATCACATATCATTTTAAATTCACAGCCCATATTTTCATTCTCTGATAAATCAATACTTTCTAATGATGGACAGCATGCAAACAATTTTCCAAACTGCTCAGCTGCCTGAGGATTTAAATCACTTTTTCTCAAATTAATATGTTTTAAAGTTTCTGAAGAGGAGACTAGTCCATGACATATCATATTAAATGGATATCGTGCTCTTTGATTCTCTGATAAATCAATTGTTTCTAATGATGAACAGAAGGTAAATAAATTTGCCAAATATTTAGCTAGCTCATAATTTAAATGACAACAGGGCAAGTCAATTCGTTTTAAAGATTTTGAAGAAAATTTTAAACCTTGACAGAGCATTTGAAAAGTATTTTCCACTG